GTCTTTTATACTAACATAATTTGTACCTTTTATGTTTTAGTACAAATTTTCTTGTACTTATAATTTTTCATACAAATTTCTATATAGTACAAATTAAACATGTATTTTAACCTTATGGAACAAATTCCTCATCGATCGCTAGAGGCTGGTCAGTGTCACCGTCAACAGAAGCTCGCGGAATATGCTAGCCATACCAAGAAGATCGAAGCAATGCTCTCTCGCTGGTTCTAGAAACAAGCCATAAACGATGATTACCCTTTTCTGGTTTTCGATGCGGTTCCGAAAGATGGGGTTGATGGCAACCCTAAGGCAGGCGCTGGGTTGCTGGACAGTTGGCCGAGTCAGGAACCAACAGGTTTGACCTAATCAGTCCAGACCAAACCTGTTATTCAAATTGGTTCAAGTGGACCAAGGTGACCACAACTCCCGTTCAATGCTCAAGCACACCATATCAGACAGACAGACAATTCTGAACGAAGCCAATCGAGTTCCATTGGACTATCTTGGTGGTGACCACGATTACTTTCTTGTTGATTATAGACCACCGATGGGATATGAAACCACTAGTTACTGCAAGCTGCCGCGCTGCCTTGATTTCCCCACCTTCTTTGGGTTGGAAGATCCAGGTGTCTGGATTAACTGTGCTGAGCAATGGTTCCATTATCAGGGAACTCTAGATGATTGGATGCCAAAAACAACCTATTTCTACTTTTTGGAAGCTGCAGGCTAGTGGTGGCAGTATATTGAGCGAACGTATAAGGAGTCTGGTGTCTGCCTTGGAATCTATTTAAGGAGGAGCGTTGGAGTCATTTTGGGCCGACAAGATATGGAACTCTGGCTGAGCATGTCATAACTGGGTAGCCCATTAGTACGATATTGTCCGCTTTGGGCCGAGCCCGCACGGTTTTACTCTTGGGTGTCCTCCCCAAAAGGCCTCGTACTAATTGGGCTAGGTGGACACTTATATACAAGGGTTCCTTCCCTTGTATTTCCGATGTGGTACTTGGATTGTCCCATAACAATCCTCCCCTGAAGCCAAAGACCACGAACTTCGTGTCCTCACCTCAGTGATTTTCTTGATCCGCCAGACGCCTTGTATCGATGGGCTTCTCGATACAAGGACTTTACCAGACGCAGAACTCTCTTTGATCTGCTTCCCAAATGCGGAACTCTCTTTGATCCGCCAAGCCCAAACGTGGATCTCTCCTGGATCCACCAAACCAGATGCAGATCTCAAACCCCGAGGTCACCGAGCGAGGGTCCACCGAACTGACATCCACCGCCCCGGATCTGCCGAACCAGGCTCTGATACCACTTGTCGAAATCGGGGCGCTCAATTAGTACGATATTGTCCAATTTGGCCGAGCCCGCACGGTTTTACTCTTGGGTGTCCTTCCCAAAAGGCCTCGTACTAATTGGGCTAGGTGGACTCTAATATACAAGGGTCTCTTCCCTTGTATTATCGATGTGGTACTTGGATTGTCCCATAACAGAGCAATTAGTGCAGCTTCAACAAACAGACAGTATTCGTGAGTATAAGTTGGAGCTTGGAGATCGAGAAACACATCAACCTTTGTTCCGGATGGTCAGAGGAAAATCAAGTTGTCATCATTTTAGGTGGTGTTTTGAAGCTAGAAATTGCTGAGGCAATTTGAGTTCTTGGGCCCAAATCATTGGGCGGAACTTTTCGCATTGCAATGTGCAAGGAAGAGGAGTTGGTCGGGCAGCTAGCTTGGATTCAAGTATCTAGGATGCCTCCACCGGTGCACGAGGTAGGTAGAGCTGGACCTCACCCCCCTCCAACCAGAGTTTACCACTTAACCTCGGAGGAGGTGGATCGTAAGCGTCGGGATGACAAGTGGTTGTATTGTGATGCATGATGGACTATTGGACATCGTTGTTGCAGGAGCCTCATGCTTATGGTTGCCGATGGCGAGTTGCCATAAGTGTTCACAGGTGTGGGCGTCGAAGCCATTGAGCCTACTAGTTCATTAGTTATAATTCATTTGGTTCAATCTTGAGAACATGGTTGTTTTCAAGGAGGGTGGATTGATAGAACTCTTATTATTACTAGATAATTGGCCGCGCTCCGCAACGGGTAACGATGAAATTGACAACTTTGATATATTGATTGCAATTATATTTAAATTGACAAATTTTTTATTAGTTTTCTTAAAAGTAGATACCACTTTATATTTGTGGAGGGCTTCAAGACTTTCTTAAATTAAAGCATAGGTTTACCATAAAAAAAAAGACTTTCTTAAATGATTTATCATGCATATAATTTATTTGATACACAGTTGGTAATTGAAATAAGCCAGGATGAATAGTTTTATATGTATAGAAGGGAAACCCAAGAAAATATTAAAAAAATGGTTTAATACACTTGTATATCCAAAACTTTCACGGTTGTGCCAATAATATCCAAATTTTTCGACATACCACTTATATCCAATTCCTTCACATTCTATAACGGTGTTTTTGGATATACAAGTGTATTTAACCAAAAATATATTGGGAAATGGATAGATTTGGCAAAGAACAACTTTAAAACATAGATATAAGTGGTATTTCGGGAAATTTGGATATTATTAGCACAACCGTGAAAGTTTTGGATATACAAGTGTATTTAACCTTAAAAAATTCAAATATTTTTATGGTATCTTATAATTTAAGTATAGCATAATTATCCAAGTTCTAAAATTTAAAACAACATTGGGCTAGTTTGACCATGCTTTACCTTTTGCAAAATCAACTTTTGGCTCGAACTTTTAAAAATGCACTAAAAGCAAAGTTTAATGTTTAGTTGAAAAACTATCATAATTGTTTTTAATTTAAGAGTCCATGTAAAATGGATAAAAATGCAAAAAAATGAAAAGTAGTCAAAAGTCTTGTTAGATTTATTTTATATTAAATAATATTATTTTTTTAATTTATTTTTGTTTTGAATAAGATAAATGAAGGAAAATTATGTCCTTAGAAAAAAAAAATTAATATAATAAAGATAATCTTGTACTTTCAAACAGATTTTTGCTATAACTCCAAATCGAATCCTCTGTTATTATGTTATAAAAAGCACTTTTCTATTTTCTTCAAAAAAAAAACCAAAGTGTTTGGTCCAATTTCAACTTTTGAAATAGAAAAACAATTCTAAAATCGGGCTAAACATAAATATTATGTCAAAGGTGTATAATTCCTATCAATGACTAAAAAGTAAAAATTGAAATCTTTATATTTTTAATTGAATTCAATGTTGGCTTTCGGTAATTCTCTCATCAAATGAAACCTTTCATAAATTCTAATGGTGTAAATAGACATGCATCGACATATCAATAACCCTTTCTTATTTCATGAACTTTCAAAAGATTGAGCAGTCAACAAATACAAAATATTAACAGGTTGTTTGTTATATTTTATATTCCAATTTATTTTTTCTAGCAGCTTCTTCAAGTCCCTAATTAGTAATTGGTATATACACGTGGATAATGGAAGAGTGTCCCTTCCCTAAGCATGCATCATGATTAACCAAGTCCACAACTTCCTTTGTCTCTTTACTTTTTAAAGTTTTCTTTCTTCTACCTCTTTCACTTCTCGTCCTCTCTCCCTCGGTGCAAACGCTTCAACAAAAGTTTGGGTGGCGAGTTTAGAATTGTGAAGGAAAGAGAAGTCGGATTTTAGACTCATGACATTGAGCCGGATTATATTACTTTTACTAAAGCTTATAATCTCAAAGATGTCATCTTGCATTGCATTTGGAGTCTAGACGGAGAAGAGGATGGAAGCGCGGTGATTTGTATTTCCCATTCAAGTGGTTTAGCAAGTGAGAATGGAGGGATGTTCCAAAACTTTTTGTTGCAGAGGTAAGTGTACCTTTTCATCTTTGCATGTGAGAATTTGGAGCAGATGGGGGACAGTTGGAAAAGGGGCTCTGTTTTTGCAACCTCAGTTACTTTTTTGCAATAGAGCTTCGGAGTAGGAGGATGGATGGTCCATTTATAACCATAACCCCCATCCTTTATGATCAATCAAGGATGAAGCAAGTGCATGTCTGTTTTTCCATTTGACCGATTCTAGCTTGGCAGCCGTGGATTTTGGTGGGGACTGTGGCGCGGTGTATGGAGTTGCTGTCGATTTGGATGGGGGCTTGCTTACGGTTCTTTTCTCAAATCCAGAAGCAGAGGTAATAGTCCAACTCAGCCAGCCTCCAATCAGAAGATGGGAGGAAGAATCATGGTAGAAAATTGGCTATCCAACTTGGCCAATCGCCAATCGGTCGGCCACGAATCGGTAATTGTTGTGGGTGATAATGCGAAAGAAAGTGACGGGTAGGAAGCAGGGGATCTCGGGACGAAACAAAAGGGGTGCACAGGTGCTTACGGTGTACCTACCCGTAGCCCACTGGACCCCTTAAGTAAAAGAGACGCTTTATATATACTAATAATTACCTTATTATTATTACAATTAATTATACCAATTACATATCGGGTAGTATTAGGGTTATGAATTGTGGAGTATAAATTTTAAATACTCATTGTACCTTTGTTATTTGGTTCATCGAGAAATAAACCTAAAGCATATTCTTGAGCAAATCTCTAATTCTCTCAATTCTACTTTCCTCAACCCTAATTCTATTCTCAATTTTTCCTAATTCTCTTCTCAAATCCCTAACTAATGCTCACTCACTTTACTCAGACAAGATCACGGGACGGAATTGAGGGAGGTTGTTGGTGGCAAGGTTCTGCTTCAATAAGTTGTTTCCATGAAATGTATAAAGCAATGTTGTCAGAACCGAACCGGAGCATGACCCGATAATGCGAACGGCTCGCACTTTAGTGGTCCAACCGGCAATAGACCGTTTAAAAATCGTTAGAGAACCGGTACTTAATAAACGTTATCAATATAAATAGTGGACATTTCTTAATAAGAACTCATCTCTTTCCTTCGAAATTGTGAAATGGAAATAAGGATTCAGTTTAAGAGCCCGACATTTTTGGTTTATTTCAATTTTCTGTAATTTTTTAATTAAATTTAACGGTTGAATGGAAAAAACCGGACGAGTAGCTCGATCGGCTCGAGCGGTTAACTGCCTTGGCCGCTCGCCAACCGCTACATAAAACCGGAGCGGCTTTTAGACTGTTTCGAGCCGATTTTGTGACCGGGTGGCGGTTCTACCGGTCGGACCGAGCGGCTCGGTTCGGCTTTAATAACACTGGTATAAAGCTTCACTCGAATAAATTAAACCAATCAAATACCATGATATTCCTTCCCAAAAGGGAAGACAGAAAGAAAGAATGCGTTTTCACAAAAACAAGATCATTAGACCCATTGCTGTTTCATTTGCTTCTACTATCCTTACAACTTCCTCTCAATCCAGAACACAAGACCTCAACCAACCTAGCTAGTAAGTCAGGTTTAGGATCTTACCCAACGGCTGATACGAATTGGCCGGCTTGTTAGGAGCATAAGTACTAGTAGTTGTAGTAGGCAAGAAGCTGAACTTTCCAGACAAGGATTCCTCCCTTAGTGCAGCCAGCGCTGCCTTCCTCTTCTGCTTCCTTTCCCGCAGCTTCCTAAGCTCCTCCTCAACTTCCACTTTGGCCTTCTCCGCGACATCTGCCCTCGTCACTGCCTGCTCCGCCCTGGCCCTGAACTCCCCGATCTTGGACATTGCACCTTCCAATTCTTTCTTCAGGTTCCCCAACTCAGTCCTGAACTCCACCGCTGACTGATCATAGTCCTTCCAAAAACTCTGATTGGCCGTTGAAGCTCTCTCTACCAATGCCTCATAATCAACCAATGAAATCATGACCTTCCCTCCTCCTCCTCCTCCCCCTTCACAATTCACATCATGAGTACTATGGTTTCCTTCAGATGCTTCTTCCACAATGCCCTGAACATTGTGCGTTGTTGACCGTTTCACTGACCCAACACCCCCTTGCTTCTTGTTTCTAGCCTCAACCGCCTCGGCCACAACAGCCTTTGATCTTATCTTGATGAGCTCCGATTTCAGGAGTGTCATCTCGACTTGAGCATCTCCCACTTGCTTCAGCAGCTCCTCGGCTCTCCCCTTGTTGGAATTCGCCATGGATTCCATAGCCTTGGCCCTTGCAAGGGCCTTGTTCTTCTCATCCTTGAGCGTGGCGAGCTCGGCTTGGATCCTGAGCATCTCGCCCTGATTGCATTTCAGCTCGTGGAGGACGTTAGAGAGTTGCTCCCTTAATTTTGCGGCCTCAGCTACTTGATCCCCCAGCTCGCTGAGCCGGAGGGCGGCTTCAAGGTGCTGTTGGATGTGGAACTCTTTCTCGGACTCGGAGTCCTTCAACAGAGAAGTGAGTTGCTCTACTGTGCTCTGGTAGTGCTCGACCCTGCGAAGAAGCTGCAATTGTTCCGAATCTTTTGCCTCAAGTTGGAGCTTGCAGTTTGATAACTCTTTTGAGAGCCCATCCATATCCTTTGCTTTCTCTACTGCCTGCTTAATTTATTTTCCCTCCCAAACCCAAGGAAAAGGAGTGAGCTTTGTTAACCATATGCATGCGTGAAACCAGAAGCATTAGTAAGATTCAAGCGTACCTGATCAAGGGTGGAGTTGGTACTGCTGTTCATACTCCAGGTGGGGGCGAATTTTTTCTGATTGTCCCCTTTCTCTTCGAAAAGGGTAAGAGCTACCTGAACGGATTTGATGGGTTTGGTGTCGATCTCGCCCATGGGCGAGGACGGCTGCATCTTCAACTGAAGAAAAAGACGAGGAGGGTTCTTGTTTTCCCAGAAACAACAACGAAATCCTTCTATTACTGTGCGACTATTCAGTCAAATAAGAAGGAAGGGAAAAAGACGTACTAATATCATCATGAGAAACAGCATCAGCAAGAAGGGGGCAAAGAAATGAACAGAAAGTGTCTGCCTGAAAGACTACTTATGAAGCTTTTTGAATGCCGGAATGGAAAGAGCAGGGTTTAACTCTTCCCTTCCCTTCTGTGTGTTGCATCTCCTCTATATTGGTGTTGCAGGCGGAGGCAGAGAGAGCAAGAATGGGGCGCAGAGTTGGGGACTCAGAAACTGGACTTGCGGACAAACCAATTCAAACAGCAAAACAAACACACTTTTACTACTAGTTTGGTTTCCTATTTTGGCATTTCTTACGTAGCTGTAGCTGTAGCTGCGTCGGCGATAGCAAGGCGCAAAGGAGACGAATATTCTATTTTCTAGCCAATAACGAGCTTTTGCCTTCTATCACTTTGTCACCACATCTTTTCTACTAGACTTTTGCACTATGTTTGGCTTGTTAGAAGTATAATGTCTCGGTATCTGTATGTAATTAATCATGTATATATTTAGTGTACGTGAAGTGATGGAGTGGCATAGATGGGCGGCCGATTAGGGTTACGAGGGATAGTTATATATATATATGTGTGTATCTGTAGCCGATTGGAGACCACTATACTCTCGGAGAATTCTGCATAATAAGAGAACTGAACGCCTTGTGTCGTGGACTAGTCTCAACGTTCTAATGTTGGGAAAACCACGTAAATTGAGTGTCCTATGTTGTTTCGTATTTAATCGTGATTGAGTTTGACATGGTATCAGAGCCTATCTGATTTTTTTCGTGGATTGCTCGATGGTGTGCGGTAGCTGATCTTCGCTCAGCTTCGTGAGTTCTTCTCGGTGGTCGTCTGCGTTCCCTGGTTTGTGCAGACTTTTCTTTTCTTGATTAGCTATCCTTGGTTGGGCTGTCTTTGTGTGCTTCTCGGCTGCGGCTGTCTTTGGGTGTATCTCGGCTGATGTGTGTTTTATTGGCTGCTGCTGTCTCTTTGTGTGCTTCTCCTGCTCTCACCACTGCATATGCGACGGGTATGCCCTCTTCGTCTTCCTTCCCCTGGCATATTGATTTTGCCGCTGTAAACCATATGACTAGTCATCGATCCTCCTTCTATAATATTCGTCCTAGTTCTGGTCTCTCCTTACAGGTGGCTGATGGCACCATCATTTCTGTTGATGGGGTTGGTTCTGTATCTAGTGAACAAGTGTCTTTGCCTCATACATTTATGTACCAAAATTAGTTCCTAATTTGGTCTCGGTTGGTCAACTTGCTGATGAGGGTTGTCGGGTTGTGTTTGATGCTCGTGGTTGCATTATGCAGGACACGAGAACGGGGATGGAAGTCGGGAGAGAGAGTAAAAAGGGACGAGTGTACATGCTCGACAGTCTTTCTCATCATCCGATTGATCGTGGTGGCCCTGCTTCTGTGGGGATGGCGGTTGCGGGTCATGAAGCCTATGGAGCTGTTGAGCATGTTCATTCTTTATGTTCACCTTTATCTTTCATAAATTCTGGATATTCAGTTCAGTTATCGGATTGAGATTTGTGGCATTGTTCGTTTGGGTCAACCGCATAAGTCGAGGCTCTTTGATATGTTTAAGAATAATTGGTTGACTGGTTCTGTCAGATCGATTCCTCCTCATGATTGTATTCATTGTGTGGAAGCTAAACTTTCTCAGCGATCTTTTAGTGATAGCTCTACTGTTTTTTTTATCCTTTTGACTTGGTTCACATGGATCTATGGGTCCATCACCAGTGATCTCCCGTTTGGGGTTTCGATATTTTGCTCTTTTTATGGATCATGTTACTAGGTTTACATGGGTCTACTTCTTAAAGCGAAAATCTGAATTGACCAACTTGGCCAGAGAATTCCTGCAGATGGTCTCGATGCAGTTTGGTAAGACCGTCAAGATCCTTCGGTCTGACCCAGGTGGTGAGTTTGATATGTTCCGTCAGCACGGTATTCTTCCTCAACAATCATGTCCTGAGGTATCTCAACAGAATGGGTTGGTGGAGCGAAAAAATTGTCATGTTCTTGAGCTTACTCGTGCCTTGCTATTTCAGTCTCGGTTTCCTCATTGATTCTGGATTGAAGCCATCCATACTGTGGTCTATTTGATCAACCGCCAGATTACTCCCTTTCTTGAGCAACGTAGTCCATACCAGGTTCTATTTTCTCGCCTACCCGATTATGCATGGTTACAGGTCTTCGGCTGTGTGTGTTACGTGCTTCTTCCTCGACGAGTGTGTGTTTGTGGGCTATAGCGACAAACACAAAGGTTATGCCTGCTATGATGTTGAGAATCGTCGACTTCGCATCTCCTGTCATGTTTTTTTTTGTGTGTGGAGCATGCTCGTTATTTTGATTCTACTAATGGTCCTAATGATTCTCAATGGGACTTCTTGACTACTATTCTGAATTTTCCTTCGAAATCTATTACCCAGGCTACTGATGATGATGCACCTCCTCCATCTCCCTCGTCGTCGGCATCATCTAGCTCCTCCACGCAGTCTTCTTCCAGTTCGTCCCCTTCCTCATTGTCGGACTCCACGTCTTCTAGGGAGTCTTCTTCATCGCTTGGGTCCTCGAGTTTGGCAACATCTCTTCCCCCTCCACATCGATCCAACCGTGCCACTAAAGGGATCCCACCAGTGTGGCATATGGAATTTGTGGCATACTCCACTACTTCTCACATATTTGTTCCTACTACTTATAAGCAGGCTCGTGGTCTCGATGTATGATAGGCGGCGATGGACACTGAGACTCAAGCCTTGGAGGCTACTCATACCTGGGATCTTGTTCCTCGTCGTCCTGAGATGACTGTTATTGGGAGTAAGTGGGTCTATGCCGTTAAATGTCATCCCGATGGCTCTGTTGAACGTGAAAAGGCTCGTCTCGTCGCCCAAGGTTTCAAGCAACAGTATGGTGTTGACTATGCGGAGACCTTTGCTCTGATGGCCAAAATGCAAACTGTTCGCACTTTAATTGCCATTGCAGCTGTCTGCGGTTGGCCATTGGTTCAGTTGGATGTTAAAAACGCATTTCTTCATGGTGATCTCAATGAGACTATCTATATGGAACGTCCTCCTGGGTATGCTCGAGGTGATAACTCGATGGTCTGTCGATTACGTCGTTCCTTGTATGGTCTGAAGCAAGCTCCGCGGGCATGGTTTGAAAGTTCAAGACTACTATCCTTCGCGCCGGTTTTGTTCAGAGTGGGAATGATCTCTTTCTTTTTCTTCGACGCACAGCTTGTGGCCTCACTATTCTTCTCATATATGTGGATGATATGGTTATCAGTGGCGATGATCAATAAGGCATCAACTCTCTCATTCTTACCCTTCGGCAGGCATTCAATCTTAAGGAGCTTGGTGATTTATCCATGTTAGTCAATGGAAGTATGTGGCTGATTTGTTAGAGGAGGTGCAGATGGATGAGTGTGATCCCTGTGGTACACCTATGGAACAAAATCTTCGGCTGTCTCAAACTGATGGGGATTTGTTGGATGATGGAGCGATGTATTGAAGCATTGTTGGCAGTCTTAGCTATCTTACTCATACTCATCCCAACATTGCGTATGTCGTACAAGTCGTCAGTCAATTTATGTCGGCTCCTCGGACTCGTCATTGGATTGCTGTACAGCGCATCTTGCGCTACCTTCGTGGCACTCCCACCGTAGGTATGTTCTTTCCTTTTGATGGTGATCCTGTGATCGAGGCCTATGAAGATGCTGATTATGCAGGTTGTTTGGATACTCGGCGTTCCACGTCGGGCTGGTGTGTGAAGGTGGGGCGCTCCTTTGTGTCCTGGCGTTGTAAGAAACAAGAAAGGGTAGCCAAGTCCTCTACGGAGGCAGAATATAGATCAATGAGTGAAGTTACCTCCAAACTTGTTTGGTTACAACGCTTACTAGCTGATTTTGGGGTGACCAGTCGAGTCCCTATTCGACTTTATGCAGACAACACTAGTGCCATCCGAATTGCCACTAATCGAGTGCTACATGATCGAACGAAGCTTATTGAGGTGCGTGTGCACTATATCCGACAGTTGGAGACAGATGGAGTTATTGAGCTTGCCTACATCACTTCCGAAGACTAGACAACTGATTTATTAACCAAGGCGGTGGCTTCTGCTCGTCAATGGTTTCTAGCTCACAAATTGATGTTGCGTCAGCACCATCATTTTGAGGGAGGGTGTTAGAAGTATAATGTCTGGGTACCTGTATGTAATTAACCATGTATATATTTAGTGTACGTGAAGTGATGGAGTGGCATAGATGGGCAGCCGATTAGGGTTATGAGGGACAGCTATATATATGTGTTATGTGTAGCCGATTGGAGACCACTGTACTCTCTGAGAATTCTGCATAATAAGAGAATTGAACGCCTTGTGGCGTGGACTAGTCTCAACATTCTAACGTTGGGGAAACCACGTAAATCGAGTGTCTTATGTTGTTTCGTATTTGATCGTGATTGAGTTTGACATGGCTAGGGTGCAAATAGAGGGTGCAAATTTTGGGCCCATTTGGATAATTTGCAATAGTGGTAGGGGAGCTAAGCTCAAGGAGGGGGGATTCACTATTCCTCTTAACCCTCCAATTTGGGGTGCAAGAAGAGAGAGAAAAGAAGAAGTAAGGAGTGAGTGTGTTAAATTAATGTTATAATTATTATAATGTGTATTATTATATTTAAATAATTAGTTCTTATATTTTGAATAAAATTTATGCAAATGATGATTGTTCTTATTAACATAGTAAGAAAGGCTAATTACTATTGAATCATAAATCATTATTTTTATAATTCTTTATTATTATTGTTGGAAATGGATGAATAGCTTTGAAAGTTATAGAGTCTCAAGTGGAAAAACTACCAGTTGGTAGTTTTACTTGGTGAAATGTGTATAAAGATAGAAGCCTCTCTCCTAAGGGCATGCCCCTTGGGGTGACCCACTTTTGTGAGAGAGGGAGGACCTAAAAGACAACCACACGCGCGCGCGCGCCGTCTGTATGTCCGACCGACCGACTGGTCGGTTGGTTGGTTCACTTGAGACTATATATTTTTTGGAGAAATTCCGAACGAAATTATTAATCGATTATTCTGAGGAATATTCGAAGGATAATCCAGCAGGATTTATCTTAACCGACGGTTTTAATTAAAGAAGTAATTATCTTCCTTAATTAATCTGACTTATTCCCCAAGCTAGAGGGTATATTCCTCGGGGTTCGGCTCATATAAATAGCCGCCTCCCCAGCCCCTCTAAACACACCACAACGAGCATAAACACAATAGAGAGAGTCTTAAGAGAGCTCCGGTTTTCGCACAAAACCACGAGTACAGAGAAGAGCTGTTTTATCCTGAAGACGACCAGTTGATAGTCATAGTCTGTCGTGCGCTTCGAGGGCAGTGTCGCGAACGTCTTAAAGAGAGTGACCTAGTCCGCGACTCAGCTCCAGATTCGGTAACCTCGTTCTTGTTGTTA